TGGCATATAGAATGGTATACCATACTATGCCATGCTATACTATACTATACTATACTATACTATATACCATACTATAATATACTATACTATACTATACTATATTCCATACTATACTATACCATTCTATATGCCATACTATACTATACTATATTATACTATAGTATACTATACTATACTATACCATACTATACTATACTATACTATTGGTAGCGTCGACTCATGATTGGTCTTTGTAGTTTTTTAGTAACTAGAAAGTCAAGGGCAGCTCCTTCTGTAATCTCTAGGGATAGGCCAACAGCCTCGGTAAACTAAAAGGCCTGTTCCTTGCTTGTAATTTGTTTCTCAAGATAGAACTTTGTGACCAAGTACTCCATTAATGCCATTTCATCCGAGATGACCTTAAAAATCTGCACACCTCGAATGGCTCGGCGTAGCTCCACTGAGTCAACAGACCAGAAGCGTCTCTTTTGAAAGTTGCCCATCCAAGGCTTTATGTTGCCAGGTCTTCGTTTACAGGTGGTTATCCACTGAGATGTAAGTAGCCAACAACTTGCTATCGGTGACAGGTGAATTATTGGCTCACTCAGGCCTCAATGACTGATTTCAACAAGAGGTTGGATCCTTGGATGAACACGAGTAATACTGCATCTGGTTACATTTTGCTCGGTTCGGCGATGGGATCTAAAACGCTATAGTTTAGTTCAGTGACACGATAAAAAAACTGATCGTCTAGACGACCGACTGAGTACTTTTAGAAGGTGAGTCATAGTGAGCATCAGGGCATCGATCAGCCTTTATTTCAGGAATAGTGTTCTCACTGCCGCTATCCTTTATTCTGATTGGAGTATCTATATAAGACCTACAGTGTGTTGATATCACGTGACCAACAGCCAAGGGAGAATTCACATGGAGAATAAAGTCATTTTAAACAAAGTAGTGGTTGCATTTAAGACAAGAAAAACACTTTCCAAGATGTAGCCAGCCTTACTTAGCAAGGTCTACCGCCTGACCGCAGGTGATTGTTCGCAGAGTTGCTCTCTTACCGGAGGTTTTTAACTTGTGAACGTAACTCTCGCTTTTGCTTTTGTGTCCCTCCAAACGCCAAACGACACTACATGTTCCCACCTACCTCCATATTAAGCTTCTAATTTTCCAGCTAGCTTGAGTATGGATGAAATTTCGCGATCAAGTACACAAATACGTATAAAGATCACGCAGTGAACTGCAGGCTTGAAAAACACTATTGTGACCCAACTCGGCTTGGACGAGAATGTGATCGCAATTTCCTTTCAGAGTGATAGGAGGAATAGATTTGTTTTAAACGGTGACTCAAGGTCGCGTGAGATGTTATCGATCTTGGGTGATGTGCTCCCATGGCCAGCTCATTAGGATCAAAGAAAGAATAGCACACACTTTGAATCTATCTGTCTTATTTGGAAAGACTTATTCGCCCGCTCGATAATTTAGACGTTAGTTTTACTTCAACTTGATCAAAGTTAGCATTAGTACTCATGTCAACGTTGTCTCTTGTGGCGGAATTTTCAAACATGATATCCGCTGAACCTGAGTCATAAGAGAGGTAAAAGCGGTGCTGAGAAGACCCATTCAGTTCTTTGGCAACTCTATTCTGGAGATTGGTCCATTTTGAATCTTTCCATTCCTTTGAAAGCCTCGACTAGTTACTGACGGTGGAACCGTATGAACCCTCAGTTCTTTGGCAACTCTATTATGGAGATTGGTCCACTTTGAGAGTGATCTTTCCATTGAAAGCCTCGACTAGTTACTGACGGTGGAACCGTATGAACCCTATGACAAGATCTCTTTGTCAGAGCACAGAACACCGTGATCTGTCAGGCCGAATCTTTAGAACAAAAGCATATATTCCATCAATTAGTTCATACTATGGAGAGAGGAACTGTCCCACATGGGGGACCGCTATGCCTATCACTCGGATTGAGGTTAGACTGCAATGGAGAGCAAAAAACTGATCGTCAGATCATGTGTAGATCAAGGCGTTTATCTGCTGTGCTAAATTTCTCAGCAGACGCCTTCACATCACTGACAGTTTGGATAGAAATTTGAAAGAAAGGCGCCCTCTACTTCTTTGTTGTTGGATAGCGCTCCGATTCCTCCGAGAAACTATAGCCTGCCGTTTTCTTTTGACTGAGTGAAGAACCGTACGCCGCTGCGTATCTTAGAGATTAAAGAAGACGGCTAAATCCGGCCTACCAGGTCTGCCAATCAGTGATGCTGAAGGATCAGAAAAGAAGGTTGATCACAGATCAATAAAACTCCTAGCACGCTGATCTTTCGCTCCAGGCGGAATCGCACATTGTTTATCATGAATGCACCTAGTTCGATCAAGTTTGGAAATGCATACAGGGGTGGGTCACGAGTTTGTACGAGGGTTTCGACCATCATGTGGCCTTGTATTCTCCTTGACTACGTACTGAAGGCCCTAGACGAACTTCTCCGTTTGAGCAACCTGCACTTTTAACTCAAGGTGCTTGAAGAGCGGCGAAGTCTTGATCGACGTTTCAAAATTACTTTACACATTGTTTACTGTTTCATTTCACTGAGATTCATTAATTTGCAGTCCGCTTTTATGATGGAATATATAAATAGGCAATTTTGAGTTTGAAAGCCGCAGTTATCGATTTTCTCGGACATGGCGCCAGTCGGGTTCAGGCATCCACCTTTCCTATTGAACTGAGTCACTGGTGATTGACTACCCTCACTTAATTCCAAATTTTGCTTTCGTGGTCTGTAGTTTGCTGAAACCCGTGAGGGCATTTTCAATGTGCATTGAGCTAGTACCCCCATCAGAGATCGACGCAGCATGTCAACTGAGACTTGTGGAGTTTTCAGGCATCTGGTTTCGTACAGAATCCCTTGATTTTGGTTTAAAATGGGCTACTTCCAGGAAAGAATCAATTTCAAAACTCGCAGGCTGAAATGATCAACTTGGCGAAACAAAAGCCGATTAAAAAACAGACACCGCCATCCAGGTTACCCGCTCAAAATCTGCGTGTGTTATAACTCAGTCACTGGTTAACGTACAAAGTTACTAACCGAAAGGTCCATGGTTCAAACCCAACATTAGTATCTTGACTGCTTCTGCCAAGGTCTAAGGCAACCCAGCAGACGATTTTTTAGAAGAGTTTCCAGAAAAGTTCTTAAGTGGCTGTCCGGGGAACTAGTAACAGCTGAAGACACCGATGAACGGGCCAAAAAGTACTTTTTTCGTTCATTCCTCTTTAGTTGTTTTCTTAAGTCCCTTTCAACAGAATGAACGTACTTATCAGTTACTGCACGTTGTAATCGCAGCGAGAGGACGGCCTAAATCACAATCTGCGTTCAGGAGAACCAGTGTTGCCCATGAGCCGTGTTGGCTTTCCGTTCCCATCCACTGCACAAATGAACACCAAGATCAATAGCTTCTGCAACCCAAGGATGACCTTGAAGTTGTTTCATTTTCAAAGATCCTCTTCCTAGTCAAAACTATGAGAAGTATCAGACGATCGTTCACCAGTTCGCATCTTCACTTCTCGTGGATTTTTCCCTCCTTGCATGCCTTAGCCAGTGACTTCAAGTTTTTCGGCATTTCCGCGCAGAATAGGTACACTAAAACCGTTCTTAGTATAGTGGAAAAAATTTCTCACATAACAGGTGTCAACAGTTCTGACTAGATAGTCATTCAGTGTGATCACTACTCAAGCGCAAATTAGTATACTTTTGCACGTTATGCTCTATAGTATAAGATTACCTTCAGGAGTTGAATGCATTCTTTCTAAATCTCCACTCTGTCATCCTTCACCGACACTCAACACTTGTTCTGTCACTTTTCGACCCCATAATCCCAGGAATTTTATGGTGCCGATTCATCTGCTCACTACGCTAGCATGTAGTGCTGTTCACCCCTTCATCGAAGTTGACAGCCCATTCAGTACGTCATCATCATAATCATCATAATCATCATCATCATCATCATCATCATCATCATCATCATCATCGACAGCGTGACATC